AGTAAAAAAAGTTTACTAATATAATCAATTAACATGAAATGGTAGACGATAGACCGTGCATGTGCATTTCTATGAATGTGAGCAATTAATTCCAACAAGAAAACTCCTCACTCATCTAAAGGGAAAAAAGTAGTGAACACCTTTTCTGTGCAAAAGTGAAAAATCATACAGAGAAAAATGCTCTCCTCCAAACTCTCCTGGCTGATCACGGTGGCTATCATGGCGGCGCTACTGTCGGCAACCACCACAGAGGCACAAACGCCGTCGTGTGCTTCTAAACTTGTCCCCTGTGCATCTTTCCTTAACTCAACCAAACCACCGGCTTCTTGCTGTGACCCACTAAGAGAAGCCGTCACCAAAGATCTTCAATGTCTCTGCAATCTTTACGAAAATCCCGCTTTGTTGATTTCTCTCGGTATTAACGTTACTCAAGCTATTGGACTTCCTAAGTACTGTAATATCCCTGGCGATGTTACCGCTTGTAAAGGTAGGATTTAACCCCAGATTTTGAAATGGGGATCTGAATTGAGGCTCAATTTTTTGCATTTGGAGTTGATAACTATGTTTTTACATGGATCGAAGTAAAAATTATACTTCAAATATGATATTTTTCATTTTTGATTCTCTGTTTATCTCTAATCTGGGAATGGTAAGTAATTTTGTTCGATGACTAATTGGGGCGTAAATTATTTCTGTTTTAACATGTAACTGTCATGATCGATTTTCGCATTAATTTGATTATTTTTTTATTTTTTTTTGTCTACAGCGGCTGCTCCAAGTTCAAGTTCTCCTTCTGAGAAAACGCCACCAGGTAACTGAGATTGAATTGCTCGTTGTTTCAACTTTGTTAACACTGAGTTAATGGTAGTCAATTGATGAACAATTTCGGAGTATGCATCAATTTGATTTGGTTTTTTATTAATTGTTGAACCTTGCTCCTTTGAATTTTACTGAATCGTGATCCATAGGTGTTTCTAGTTCCATTCATTTTTGCTTGGCCTTATTCAACTTTGCTCCTTTAGTAGTGTTTGTTTTATTAATTATACTTATTAATTATGCTTTGAAAAAATGTTTGACTACTGGTACTTAAAGGATAATTTTGGAAGAAAAAATGTTGAGGGGTTATTGTCACAGATATTTTGATTGAATCAGTTTGAAAAGAAAAAATAATAGTATTTTCACACGAAAGCTTTCCAGTATTTCAGTCAGAATCTGTTTCCCACCATTTGTTTTCCCAGTAAGCTGGTTCGGTGGGAAATGGTGGAAAAATTATGTTTTAAAACGCAAATTTCCCATTGATTCGCGGTGGAAAACATCTGCTTCTAGTATTGGGTGAAGCCAAGGTTACAACTTTATAGGTTTAGTTTATTTTTGCTTTTAGCATTAGCCGAAGCTAAGATTTCAACTTTATTAATTAAGTTTCTTCCAGATTTTAGCCTAGGCAAAGCCAAGATTTCAACTTAATAGGTTAGAATTTTAGAATGCATATTCGGGCTTCTAGCTTGAGGAACTATACTGGGTATATTGTTGTTGACGTTGTATCCGGATTTCTAGTTCCACACCTGCTTTTATGGCGTTATAGGACAGCCTTTGTTAAATTTAAATTATAGCACAAAAATTCAAAGGTTGACTTGCTAACGCTGTCCTTGTTCAATAATTCAGAAATTTGATAACATAGCTATATTCCTTGACCTTTTCAAACTATTAAATAAGTTTTCACCGAGTAACTTGTCGTATACGATCTTTGAAATGAGACAAAACATATATTGTGTTCCTTTTTCAAAACAAGAAATTGAGTAGATTGCGATATACTATAAATTTGTGGTCCAACAAGAATATTTATGTTGGACTTATGGATGCACTCTACATGTTTTGTTCATTCTGTGTTGTGATGAAATTTCCTTAGATGTCAAATTAATTTGGTGTCAGACATATAAACCTTTTTAGCAGTGTCTATCTTTGTTTGCACCTTCGACGATTAGTGGGATAAACAAAAATAAAAATATTGAATAACATCAGGTGAGAAATCAAATTTCCCGTTCTTCCTGTTTTAATCAAGTTTCTCTAAGGTTGCAAAATACTTTACATTTTCCCCAGACACGATCATTAATTGTTTCCAGTGAGGACTTAAGTTGAAGTGTTTGGCCTGATTCTTATTTCTTAGTGGGGTTCAATCAATTTTATGGTGTTCAATCAATCTTAGATCTTCAGCCAAAAAAATTGACCTACTTTGTTAAGCTTAATTTGAGGAATCAAGAGAAAAAGTTGAAAAAGTCATTCATGGTGGAAATGAAAATGTTCCGACTTCATGTAATTATTAAGAGAGACATTCTTCTCAATATTAAGAATCTTGTTCTTTCTTATCCAATAAGCCATTGGAATTATACAGAGCAGTTTCTCTTGGATGTTGCTTAGCTATGTAATAAGTTTTTAAAGTCTTTTTTATGCCCTTACCCCTGATCGCTTTGTCTTTCTAGAGTAAGTTCACTTTTCTTCTGTTTTCCTCCTCTTGAGTCATGCCGATTGAAGGTTTTTACAACGCTGGCAAAGAAAAGAAGAATGGAGATAGAGGATGACAATATTTATTATTGCAACTTCTGCCGAGTAATATTTTACCTCGTTTAATGTTATGTGCCCCAGGTACTCTGAGATTTTGTGGCAGTTTGGAGTGGAATGTGGCATATTTGTTATGCTACTCGACTAATGATCATAATTTTACTACTTATGTGTGGGAGTATCTTGTTTAGGACTTTAGACATTTTAGTCATTGACCTGGACATGAGGATTAGCCAAATGGAGAACGGAAACATCTGTCTAAATCATATGCATCCATCTCTTCCTCTTTTTGAATTTATCTCCCAGTAAAATGTAGATTCAAGATTATGTTAATTTTGTTTGGCTTACATATTGATTCATGTTTAATTTGCATTGCATTCTTGCTAACAATATTTTTCTCTTGATGAAACTTTACAGTCACCACCCCAGCTTCAAAAGATAAAAACGGAGTGAGCACGGTTGCATGGACTGGAATGTCAAGCTTTCTCGTGCTCTTTGCTTCTTTCGTGCTTGCTTAGTTCACCGAGTATGTCCTTCAAGTATTGAGGAAATGTTGATGAATTTCTTTGTTTCAGTATTTATTTAGGGAATTGACAGATTGCACTCCAAGACTTGATCACTTTTATTCTGTGAAGTTTCCCATTGTATTATCTGTCGAGATGAACTAAATTGATGTATGAGTTGTAGTGCATACTTTGTGTTTGCATGTTCTTGATGTATTTATGGGGTATTTTTTCCTCCCTACCCAAGAGCTTCCATTCTTTTTCTCCCTAGGTAACTCGAACTCTCAACTTTTGAGTTGGAAGTGAGGGGTGTTTACCATCCGAGCAACTCCCTCTCATCATTCATGGGGTATATTAAGTGAAATGTAGCACGTTATTGTATTAGAAAGGGCCTTTTTCCTTCTCTAGTCATATTATTCTTGTCATTAGAAAGCAAGAACACGCAACACAAAATGTACCATAGAAAGCTTTAACATCATGAGCTATTACTCTTTGAAAGCTTCATATGCATCTTGTTTTAACTCGTGTGGGGGAGAAACTAAAGTTCTAGCTACTAGTTCGGCATAACTCAAAAGCTTTTCTATATTTTTGTTGAGAAATCTGCTTACTAGAACTCGATATACTTTTTCTTCCTGTCATAAATTCTAGATAGTTAAATAATTCTTCTATATTAAACTCTGTTTTATAACACTGACTCCCTTTAAAGTGATTTTTTTGGCATTTTAAAAAAATGATTTTTAAAGAAATAAAAAGATATTATTTCTTTTTCATTTTTTTAATCTAATAAGTAGAATGGGCTTAGCCCATGGGGCTGGCCCAACCCTACTCGTTATTAGGGTTGAATATGATTTTTCAAGCCCATTTAAAATTAAAGCTTATAAGCCCGGCCCATATAAGCCCTTAGCCCTTGAGGCTTGATCGGGGATGGGCCGGGGTCGGCCCATGGGCCAAAACTTTTTATTTAAGAGTAATTTACAATAATCCCATTGGTATATAATCTAATTATTTGAATACAGGTTATGTTGTAATATTATGAATTTTCGTACTGGATACATGTATCTCGAAATATATGGACTCAAATTAGGTTAATTTGTTTTAGATACACTCTGTCCAAGTAGATTCGCATGTATCTAGGATACATATACAAATCTTGTGCCCTCGCCTCCCTCCCATCTTGTTTGTCACTCTCTTATCTCACTCGCTTATCTGGTATGCGAGATACATGCTAATTACACTAGATTTTTGCTAGTGTTATTGAAACAACATCATTGTTTGTCATGTTTGATTTGAAAATCTTCTCATTTTCTTGATGTTATCGAATTATAAGTTTGAAAAAAAAAAATTAAAAAAGAAAAACAGAAGGGCTAGCCCGCCCTAGCCCTCGACCCTTCTATGGTTGGGTTGGGTTGAGCATTTTCAGGGCCTACCAAATGAAGGGCTGGCCCGTCCTAGCCCTTCAAATTCCTTGGCCCGCGAGGCTTGGACCGAGTGGGGCTGGGCCAACCCTTTTTGACAGCTCTACTAATAAGTATTGAACAAATTTCCAAGAAGTCTTTCAAAACTTCTTTATGGGAGTATTATTTTTAGACTACTGTAAAAGTTAAAAGTGAAGGGCAAAAATTTAAAAACATGCTTAAAAATATTTTTGTTTTTTGAGTTTCATATTTGAATTATCAGGTGTGCAAGTTGGTTACGTACTAATCACTAACTATTTATTAAAACATGCTTCCTACCTGCATGATCGTGATATTTTAAATAGAAAAAGTGAACAACTTTACTTTAATAAATAGTTGTTGTTTGTTCAAATAAAAATGTACACATTTGATAATTTATTTACTTATGAAATTTTAAAAATTGAAGTACTTTAGCTATTATTTTAACCTAGATGTAATTTTCCAAAAAAACCACTTAGATGAAAATAACAAAGCAAATAAAACGGAACAAAGAGTTTATCCAGTAATAGAAGCTACTAGAAGAACCTAGTCAGCTCTAGTCCCCTTCCATTTTCCTCGCCTCACTACCGAAAGCTAGGGTTTACGGTTTCTGCAATTTCGAAGATTTTGAATCTGTAGTAATCGTATTTGAAGGTAATCGGAAAAAGCTATGGACCCGATGAAGTTGAATCAACTGAAGCAATTCGTCGAACAGTGCAAATCCAATCCTTCCATTCTCGCCGATCCTTCTCTTTCATTTTTCCGTGACTACATTGAGAAGTAAGTATGTTTAATTCCATTTGAGAATAGTAGATTTTGATTTTTTCCCCTAATCTTACGTTATTATGAACATATGAATGGATGATGGATCGCTACTTTGCTTTCAGTTACTGTAGTTTTGGATGAGCGAACTTTATGTCGATTTATTTATTTGTTTGATTTTTTGTTTTACAGTCTCGGTGCTAAACTTCCTCCGGCTGCTTACGACACCGGCGATTACAAAGAGGTATTTTCCTTGCTTCATTATCTTCTTACTTATAGTGTGGCGTAATGGTCAATGATGTGGGTTGAGAATAATGAGGTTCCCGACTAGTTACCTTGTACTTGTTTCTGGAGGGAGGTGTCTTGTATCTCGTGGAATTAGTCAGAAGTGCGCAAGTTGGTTCGGACACCACGGTTATAAAAAACTAAATAAATATTATTGTTCTGTGAAATCTTAATATTATTGTTTCTGATGAGTAAAGTAACCTGTACAATCACAAATAGGGAATCTTAATATTATTGTTTCTGGTTATCCTCCCTTAACCAGAAGTTTATTATTAATAAAATAATGTCTCTTAGTAATGTCTAACGGCTACTCTTGTGATTTGGAATAGAGTTAAGAGTAATTAAAATCGTCTAGGTAAAAGATTAAGGAGCTCTATTTAATAACTTCTATGAATATACACTAGGTTACACAAAAAAGTCGTTTTTGGATCAATCCAAAGCCCAACCTCCTCGGGTTTGAGCCCTAGGTATGGAAAAATCCTTGGTAGTAAAATGGGGTTGAACTGATTTGATTGTGATTTTCTTAGATACCTACATGTTTCCACTTTATATGGTTTCTTTAGTTACTGCATTAGTATGGTCCGTGGTTTCTCATTAAATATGGGGTAATCGGAAAATGTAGCCTCTCCCTGGATTTTATATTGTCCTATTGATCTAACGTTTTCTATGCAGAAGTCTCATGCGGTGGATGCGAGTGATGACGAAATGGATGATGTTGAGAATGATGCTAGTACGAAAGAGACAGTTGAAGAAGAGGAGGAGCCTGAGATAATTGAATCCGATATTGAGCTTGATGAGAGTGACACCGTGGAGCCTGACAATGATGAGCCACAGAAGGTTTGCCACCTGACTGATTTAACATTTTCTTTCTGTTTTGGATTTAAAGGTTCATGTTTATTTTTAACATTTCAAATCTGTTTTTTCTAGATGGGAGACCCTTCCGTGGAGGTTACTGAAGAAAGCCGTGATGCTTCTCAGGAGTCCAAAGCTCAGGCCATGGAAGCAATTTCTGAAGGTGATTTTGTTCAATGTCTATATGTCGGCATGCCTGTCTGCATGTCCGCAAAACCAGTGGCATCATCTCTCTTACTTTTGTTGTTTGTGTTCATCAGGTAAGCTAGAAGATGCAATTGAGCATCTTACAAAGGCAGTTCTCCTCAATCCTACATCCGCAATTATGTATGCTACTAGAGGTACATTTACCACCTGCTTTCAAAGTGAATTTATTGATGTTGATTTTTTGTAATTTGAGTATTCATTTGCATTCAACGAATCACCGTTTTTTGCTCGTCTTACACAGCTACTGTTTATATCAAGATGAAGAAGCCAAATGCTGCCATACGAGATGCAACTGCAGCATTGGAGGTTGATCTCGCTCTCAGATTTGCTTACCTGAATTTGGCTCTGTTCTGTTTACATTTCTAATTATACAAGTATTTTTTGATAAGTTCTCTCAACAATTGCAGTGGGTGGCTTTATCCAAAAATAATAATAAAAGAATGTCATTGACTGAGTAATATTTCTTGCGGGCTTTATATGGAAAATACCCTGAATAATTTCTTCCATTCTTGAGACAGACATGGAGTCATGTAGGCATTAGATTTGCATGCTCCCAAGTTAATCCATTTTTTGGTCATGTGGTTGAATACATTGTAGTCTTCCCAGATAGAAATCCTTCTTGTTTTAACCCCCGATTGAATGCTTATGTCAAACAATGTATAAATATAGGTGACAATTTGAAAAAGTAGACAACATTATTTTAGGAAAGCAGTTTTCTTTTGTCCTGCATCACAATGGAAAAAGAAAAATTGGATCAATTTCGTGTTCAATATATCATGGGCACTTGGCTGTTCTTGCAGATAAACCCAGATTCTGCTAAAGGTTACAAATCTCGTGGCATTGCCAGAGCCATGCTGGGACAATGGGAGGCAGCTGCTAAGGATCTTCACGTGGCTTCGAAGCTGGACTATGATGAGGAAATAAGTGCTGTGCTTAAGAAGGTTGCTTCCTGTGATATAATCTCATAGCATTTATCTGATTAAGCTGTAGTGCTGGGTGGCCTTCTCTTTGCATAAAAAAATTGTGGCGGTACTATTAGGCCCCCTGTTATCTTGTTCAAGGGGCAATTGTCACTATTGCAAGTGATTATGTGTTTTCTGTCACAGGTTGAGCCAAATGCACATAAAATTGAAGAACACCGCAGGAAATATGATAGGTTGCGCAAAGAACGAGAAGATAGAAAAATTGAGCATGAGAGACAACGAAGAAAGGCTGAAGCTCAGGTAACCCTTAGTTACTTGTTTGGTTTTATGCTCATGTGGCACCTTTTCTGCATGTTAATATTTGGTTATGCCTTACATCTCAGGCTGCTTATGAAAAGGCCAAGAAGCAAGAAGAATCATCATCAAGTAGGAGAGCTGGTGGCTTCCCTGGTGGCATGCCCGGAGGCTTTCCTGGTGGCATGCCTGGTTTTCCTGGTGGCATGCCCGGAGGTTTTCCTGGTGGCATGCCTGGAGGCTTTCCAGGTGGCATGCCCGGAGGCTTTCCAGGGGGAATGCCCGGGTCTGCACCTGGAGGAATGCCCGGAGGCATGCCTGGGGGTATGCCTGGGGCCACACCCGGAGGAATGCCCGGTAACATGGACTACAGCAAAATACTGAATGTAAGTAAATCTACTTTTGTATGTTTATTTTGAAACAAATTATGGTCTTAGTATAAATGTTTGAACAAAGGTATTATCTTAGGTGAAGATTATTATTTTTTTTAAAATGAAAAATCTTGTGTAGTTTTTGTAGAATATGATTCTTTTAAGTCACTGTTTGTCCATGGCAAAGAGACTAAAATTTCCTTTATGTTTGGCTGGAGCAGGACCCTGAATTAATGGCGGCATTCAAGGATCCAGATGTCATGGCTGCACTGCAAGATGGTACTTTCCTTTTTCTCCTTACCTCTTAGCCTGTCTATTCTAGTTATCTCTCACATGGTTTTGCTTAGATAATTAAGGCATTTCATTTCTTGACTAGTGATCCAGCTGTTTCACTTGAAGATGATCAATTATCACATATATTTCCTACTATATGCTCTAAAGTTCACATAGCTTTGTAACATATCAATTTCATTTTGAGTTGAATAACAAATATATATGCTTTATATATTGGAAGATTTGACTATTTTGGAACATCTCCTTATCATGCTCGTTAGGTGTCTGATGGTTAAACACCATATGTAAGTATCAACACAGTATAAACATGGTAAAGGAAATTGATGCTATCACCATCTTATTAGCTACCAGTCCAATCAGTGGAAGTCTATTAGAAACATCGCCTTTTTGTTCTAGTTAAAAATTGAGCACCTCCAATAAATTTTTTCTTCACTGTGTTACCTAAGTACATATATGCCCCTTGATAGTACCTGTGAGGTCCATATCAAAAGGAAAAAACAAAAGAGAAGTAAAACGTCCACAGGCTGCTTGATTGTTCTGTATCTCCTATATGGAAATCTAATTAGTTAGCAACAACAGATGGTCAAGTATGCGTATTAATTACAGACAAACAAAATAAATTTGGCTAGGAGTATGTAAACATATTCTCCCCATCTCTTTGCTTGTTTATTTTCTCATTAAGCTTTTGAAAGAGGAGATAGTCATGTTAAGTAGTTTTTCCACGAGTTACCTTTTTCTGAGTAAAGCAGAAGAAGATTAACAGTTGAGCTAGTATAGTTAGGATAATATATACTGTGTCTAGCAAAATTAGAACATTATTGCTGATCAATTGCCTATAGTAACTTTCAGTGATTTGGAAAATCGCATCCTTGTAGACTTAATGTTGAACATACTATAGATGTTTTGAGAGATACTAGCTGTTTTGTTTTCTCTTACTGAATGTGGCCTGGTATTTTGCAGTGATGAAGAACCCAGCTAATTTGGCCAAGCATCAAGGAAATCCTAAGATTGCTCCTATTATTGCGAAAATGATGGGCAAATTTGCTGGAAATAATTGAGAGCTTTTGGGATTCAGTAGGAATTTCTAGAGTTTGATAGAGAACATGTTACTTATCGTAAGCTTGGTTTTTATCGAGTATAAAGTCATTCCCCAAGATTGTGTCTAATCCAAGTTTAGGTTCAAACTAGCTGTCTTCTTTTTTATAGATTTGTTATTGTTAAGTTATATGTATCAACTATTTTCCCTACTGGTGAATGGTGTTATGCTATACAAAAACTGCCTTCTATTTCTATCTTTTAGCTGTCTAATCATTTGTTGTTCAGTGATTGCTGATGTGATGATCAGCTTTGGATATGAAATTTATTTCAAGTAGCGGCCGAGTAGCCAAATATTGGGGTAGATATATCGGTGAGCGCTGTAGTAGAGATGGTGCCATGAAAAACTAGGCGCATGAATTTTTCTTCCTCCAATTTATTGTGGATTAGGGTTGCTCTTTGGAGTGGTACTCAGAAAGCATGGTTATCAACTGAGGAGGGAAGCATATATACGATTAAAGGGACTGTTTATGGTCTGAGTTATAAGCAGTTGGTTCAATTAAACAAGCTTGAAAGAAGGCCATACCAGCCTTTAGAAGCACTGCTTTTTGCAATAATGAATGGGTTTCTTAAAACTATTAATCGATTTAAGTTGATTCTGAAAGTCTAACCTGGTCACCAAGTAAATATTTTCAGTTTTGATAGGGAGTATTCGTATTTCTTTTGAACTTTACATGACGCAATTCAGATTAATCAGAGCTCCAAGCAAATGTTGGTAGCGTGAATTTGAATTAGTCATAGAAAGGCATTGGTTAGGTGAAACTTCATCCAACAAAAGCATCTAATTTCAAAGATTCAGTTGTACTTTCTTTCAACTGCCAAATTTCAAGGAAGAGTGAGACTGACCATTAACCAACCCACACAGTAAAATTAGACCCGAATTCAATGGATTCTATTTATCCTACCTGCCTATGACTTCATGTTTCTTTTGGCAATGATGATTAATTTGGAAGGGTGTGACAGTGACCAAACATTCAAAAATAAATAAATTAGAAGTCCAATACTTGCTTTATTTTTTTAATTTTATACATATTGTAGTGTTTGATAACTTTGATCGAGTATAAAGTCGAAGAAAAATGTATTTTGGATGAACAAGTTAGTTAAACTTATTGTAATGAAAGTATCTTTAGTAGTTAGTGGTCATTTCATTACATGTCATGTCATCAATTTTCATAAATTCCGTCAAGGGTAGTAGGGTAGTGTTTTTTAAAGATTTATCAGAAACAACCTCTCAACTTCAAGGGGTGGATATAGAGGGGCGAGAGGGCTTTCATTCGAAATGCAAACCCAACATCCAGATTTGATTCTTAAGGACTGTATTAATATTATTATTTTTAATAATTCGAACTCATGAATGAAAATTATGAATACGCTATTGAGTAGGATATGGTCTGCTTATATTTTATCCTCTTCGAACTTCACTTTGTGGGCTTACATATGTTGTTGTTGATGATGCCATCAAGGGTAGTGTTACATAAATATACTTGTCCCTTTGATTGTGTAAGAATCTTTAAAGAGGTTTACAGGAAGAAATAATTATGATGAATTTAATAAACTTTAATATGTCGATTAATGGGTGAAACAACAACTTCGTAAAGCGCACTATAATCATAGAGTTTAATTATCAAAAAGCTTCTAGTATTTACTTTAATCTGACCTTTACTTGAGAACTTTTGAAGTGGGCTCACACCCCTCAAAATAAAATTAAAAAGAAAAACAACTAAAAAAAACAATAACATTAACATGTTAATTAAGACTTAGTGAGTATTTTATTTAGTTTAATGATGTATGTATTACATACAAATGACATCATTAGCTTTATTAGTTGTTAATGTTAATTAACTTTTGCTTGATCTTGTTGTGTAATCCAACAACAGTGGATATCCAATACAATTGGAAATTAAATAGATATTTATAGCCACGTTTTGCGGTTGCAATTAGTTAGGTAATTAGTCTCTTTAAGATGGTGCTTAAGCCATAATGATGTAATGTTGCATGTACATTTCTTGGATTAGAGGGGATTATAAAGTAATTAACAATGAAACTTGATTTAGTTGTGATGTTCAGATGAATTAAACAACACTAATCATGATCTTAACTTTCACTTTAAATATAAGTTTCATATGTTAAATTAATGCTTTAAAAATGAGGAAAATTGGGTGATATGAGGTCTAAATTGATCATGATAAATTTAATTTAAATATTTGTAAAATATTTTTTGTATTTGATATATTTTTATAGTAGTCATAGTATGAGAGAACGAGTTTTATTAGATACTTAAACAAATTATAAAAGAAAAGTTTAAATTCAAAATATATTAAGCATTGGACGAGTTAAGTTATGATTCAGTTTTTAGCTTATTTTAACTCAATTCGATTCAGCCCAAATAACATTTAAGTGAATCAATATTGCGCTCATTTATTAATTCAATCCATTTTAATATTCTCTAATTCAACTCAATCCACATCCCCTATTTGACACTCTTTTAAGTGACATATAGGAAGAGACACTACAATTGTTTGGACTATTTTCATTGTGCTAGATGATGAACTCACAAACTTTTACAGTAATGACAGCACTTAGAACTAGAAATCATTAGAAGTAGCAAATTCCAATTTTTTTAAGCAATTCCACTTTTATGCAGTTTCTTTTTCTTCTCCAACATGAAAATATCTCATGACAATATTGGAGCAAAAAGTGGAAAAGGTTTAAACAAGTAATGACTTGATCCCATTAATACTTTTATATATATTTAATAAATTTCTTAATATAAATACAGTGTTAATTTACAGAAAAATTACTGAATTTTTAAAAACTTGCCCCCTAATACTATAGATCTTCCCCAATTACTGAATTTTGGAAAATCTGCACCTGATATTATAGATCCGCCCCTGAATTTGACCCGCTTTGGATCCATTAAGTTTGACTCAAGTACATATTCATTTTCCACCTCTAGTTGTTTCCAAATAATTGGTCATTAATTTATTTTTTCACTCCTAAGTGCAAATTCAATATTTATTTATTTTTGCTTAATGGTTCACCTTTGTGCTCATTATCAATTATCCAATTTCCAAAATCTCCAACGTATACGTGGAAAGAGCTAGATAAGTCCATCTTGATAAGTGGGAATTTGTGAGATACTTACAAGTGTTTGATTTTTAACACAATATATTTGATTCTATTTTGGCTGTAAGATTGCATGATAATAGTAGGTGCATTTGATGGTGACGTTCATGTATATATATATATATAATACAAGAATGAAATAACTATTACTCTATCTATTTCAATTTATCTGATATATTTTTAATTTTTGAAATTCAAACAAGTCTGTTATTGATCGTAAAATTTTCATATATCTTTTAAATATTTTGAATTATTAATTATTGTGACTTATAGTACTTTTTACCTAGTTTACAAATATATAAATTTCATTTAAAAAAATTTGAAGATTCCATAAGCAAATTTTCGATCAAACTTAACCTCTTTGACTCTCGAAAAACGAAATATCTTATATAAATTGTAGCAGAGGAATCTAGTTAATCTTCCTTGAGGGGGAAAGTAAACATGCAAAACTATATATACCAGATGCATGCATCCCTCTATCCCTAATTACTTGTCCATTTTGACAAATCAAGAAAGGATAAAAAGAAATTAATACCTATTATATCCTCAATTAATTATTTTGAAAAAGGTAGAATTTCTTGTAAAAATTTTTAAGTTTTTAATTCATCCACTTCATAATTAATAGAGGTAAAATGGTAAACTCATTATATCAATAATTGTTTTCTTAATAAGTGTGTCAATTTAAATGTGGACAAATAATTATAGATAGGGGAAGTATAAACGATATACAAAAATTGTACTCCTTCCGTCCCTTTTTATATGTCACCTTCTTACTTTGCACTTGCATTAAGAAATGACGTAATTTTACCCTTTTATCCTTATTTAATGTTTTCTTAAATCAATTTTATAATAAATGATGAATACATTTTCAAGATTAATTAACTACTCTATCAAGGATATAATAGATAAAATATGATAATTTATGCATAAATTTTACAAAATGACAAGTATTGTGGTTCAGCTATTTATAGAAAAGAATAACATATAAAATAGGATGGAGGGAGTAGCAAATAATAAAATTGGTAGCTAATCTTATAACTCATCTACCACGTGTTTCTGGGAATTGGGATTGTTTAATTTTCAAGAAGAGCTCTTCTTAAGCCATCTGTAGCTCTAATTAGCCTCACAATAATCTTGTGGATTTGAGAGCCTCTTTCTGTTTCAATTTGTTCGATGTTTTAGAAAAATCTTTTCAATAATTTTTTAATTTTAATTTTTTATATAATATATTTAAGATTATAAGATTAAAAGATATTTTGATATATTTGATGTATTTTTTATTTAAGATCATAAAATTTAAAAATCTTTTTTATTTTCTTAAACTTCATGCAAAAATGAAAAAAGACCAAACAAGTTGAAACAAAAAGAGTAATAATAAATTTAAAGATTGAATCCGTCAAATTCAAAGTCTGAAATCATCTCGTATCCGTCTTTTCGATTACTAATTTTAATAAATTTAAAGATTAAATCCATCAAATTTAAATTCTGAAACCACCTAATTTTGCTAGCAGCCAGAGGATATGTACATAAATCAAGATTAAGAAATGAGTTGAAGAAATAACGTACGTACGTCAACTTTGAAACATTTGTCACCTTAGTTAAGAGCTGAAAGTCAAACACCAAAAATTTGGGCTTTTACCTGTCCTCTAGTACTGCAGCTGATCTTATAATATATGAGATTGCTATAAATTAAAAAAAATTAACCATAATATATACTCCCTCCGTCTCATTTTATGTGAGATAGTTTGACTCGACACAGAGTTTAAGAAAGAAAGAAAGACTTTTAAAACTTATGGTCCAAAATGAATGATAGAAATTTGTGTGGCTGTAAATCATTTCATTAAGGGTAAAATAGACATTTTATAGTGAAATTGTTACTTAATGTAGAAATGTATAATTCTTTTTGGGACTGACTAAAAAGGAAAGTAAGCCACATAAATTGAGACAGAGAGAGTAATAAATATGAGTATTTATAATCAAATATATATATATTAGTTAATTAAAGATTTTAGTGACTATGTAATTATACTAACTCAATCATCGCTAAATATTTTTGCGACAACACTAAATG